AAAAAAAAATATATATATATATATATGTATATATATATAGTGTGTCTTTCCCTTTGGTTATGTCTTTTTTTTTTTTTTTGAGACAGAGATTGCTCTGTTGCACAGGCCAGAGTGCAATGGCGTCATCTTGGCTCACTGCAATCTCCACCACTCGGATTCAAGCAATTCTCCTGCCTCAGCCTCCTGAGTAGCTGGGAGCACAGGTGCGTGCCACCACGACCAGCTAACTTTTGTATTTTAATTTTATTTTTCTGAGACAGAGTCTTGCTCTGTTGCCTACGATGGAGTGCAGTGGCGCAAACTCAACTCACTGCAACCTCTGCCTCCTGGGTTCAGGAAATTCTCCTGCCTCAGCCTCCCGAGTAGCTGGGATTACAGGCATGCATCACCATGCACAGCTAATTTTTTTTGTATTTTTACTGGAGACGAAGTTTCACCATATTGGCTAGGCTTGCATTTTTATTTTTTATGGTTTTTCCTTTTTTTGAGACGGAGTCTTGCTCTGTCACCCTGGCTAGAGTACAGTGGCGCAATCTTGGTTCACTGTAACCTCTGCCTCCTGGGCTCAAGTGATCCTCCCTCTCCAGCCTCCCGAGTAGCTGAGACTACAGGTGGGTGCCACCACACTCGCCTAATTTTTGTATTTTTAGTAGAGATGGGGTTTCACCATGTTGGCCAGGCTGGTCCTGAACTCCTGACTCAAGTGATCCGCCCACCTTGGCCTCCCAAAGTGCTGGGATTATAGGCCTGAGCCACCGTGCCCGGACAATTTTTGTATTTTTAGTAGAAACAGTGTTTTACCATGTTGGCCAGGCTTGTCTCGAACTCCTGACCTAAAGTAATCTGCCTGCCTTGGCCTCCCACCGTGCTAGGATTACAGCCACTGTGACCAGCCTCAGTTATGTCTTCTTTTACACCTTTTATAGCATTTTTAAAGTTCTCTTCATTTAGATTTTAAATTGTCCTAAACTTATTCCTGGGAATTTTAGGCTTGTATTGCAATTTCATGCTTCTGACTGCAAACTTTTCAAGGACAGGAATGTTATATGTATGAACGGACCCTTTTCATCCATTAACTATTTTTTAAGTAGCTGTGTTTTTGACGTGTTTTAATAAGAATGTATTATTTTTAAAACAAACAAGGTCATGCTACAATCTATAGATGCAAACTGGTTTAGAAATTAGGATAAAATAATCAGACTGGTGTTACACACTGAGCAGAAAATAGTAAGATGAAATATTAAGTTCAGAATTCTATTAACCACTAAACAAATCTTAGGTAAGAAATGAAAGTAATGGGATTGCAAAAAAGTCAAAGTCAGAATTAAGTACTATTAATTAATGTCATCAATATTTTGATTTATATGACATGTTCAAACTTTTCTCAAGAATGATAATGTAGGCCGGGCGCGGTGACTCAAGCCTGTAATCCCAGCACTTTGGGAGGCCGAGACGGGCGGATCACGAGGTCAGGAGATCGAGACCATCCTGGCTAA